CCGCTCCTGCCTTCTCCATATACACAGCCCCCGCAGTCACCCAATTGTTAGGTACCCAGTCCTGCCTTAACCCAGATATCTTCCGGTTTCTTCGTCCTACCCTACAAAAAATCTTACACAACCTTTCCACACGGAATTGACCACGTCATTTCCAGCTTTATTCTCTACCCTGACCCACCCCCACCCCCCAACCTCCCAGGACTTCTCCGACACCTTCAAACTCTGGACCAACAAGCCCTGTCTTGACCTTTTTTTTTTTTTTTTTTTTTAAGATTTATTTATTGTGTTTACAATGCTCTGCTTACATGTCTGCTTCAACACCAGAAGAGGGCACCAGACCCGATTACAGATGGCTGTGAGCCACATGGGAATTGAACTCAGGACCTTTGGAAGAGTAACCAGTGCTCTTAAACTCTGAGCCATCTCTCCAGCCCCCCCTTTTTTTTTTTTTTTTTGACAGGGTTTCTCTGTGTAGCCCTGGCTGTGCTGGAACTCACTGTAGACCAGGCTGGCCTCAAACTCACAGAGATCCACCTGCCTCTGTCTCCCTAGTGCTGGGATTAAAGGCGTGTGCCGCCACCGCCTGGGTCTTGACCCCACTCTTATCTTTTCTCATCATCACTGATATTAGCCCAACTGGGATTTTAGCATGCTGTAGCTTCTACTTCTTCACCTGGAAAACTCCTATTCATACTTCATGGCTCCAGTCCACTCTGGGAAATTGCCCCCAGAGACTGGTCTCTGTCCTTGGGGCTCCATGGGCTCTGAGTCAGTACCTTCCTGCTCTGTCTTGTTCACCTGCTAAGAGAACACTCTGCAAGTAAGGACTGAGTGATTCTCACTGGAATCTTGACAGATGCCGACACTGGTGACTAGAATAGGGGTCAATGCAAGGCCAGCTGAGGCACTGACCAAGTCTTTGATGGAGATTTAAACTCTTCACTGATGTGGTGACTCCAGAACCCACTGGTAAAGCATCAGCAGGTGTCATGTGATGTGGGGTGGGCACTCCTGGGAGCAACCCTCACCCTTAGCTTTGTCAAATTCACTGGGAGGAGGAGGTGAGAGGTAAGAGGTGTGAGATGGGGCAGGGGACTGCTGGTACAGGGCAGCTTGGCTTTGGTTTACTATGGGCTTTGGAATTTGGCTGTGGCCTGAGAGTAACTAGGGCTTAACAGGTAATAGACACAGTTTTCAGTTGGGAAACCCCCTTAATAGCTGGCATAGAACCCATTCCCCAGTTTGTGCTATTTGGGGATTTTTGGAGTCTTTTTGTTTTGGTTTGTTTTTAAGTTGAGGATGACCTTGAATTCCTATTTATTTTTAGAGTGAAGACTTCAAGAGACAGCTTGTGCGAATTTATTCTCCTTCCATCTTTTTTCCCTTTGCTCGGGTGTCTGCAGAGCAGCTTAGGACCACTCAGTGGTGGCTCCAACCCACTCAGTGGCCTGCGCTGTGGGAGCTGCTGACCAGTCCTCAGTGGCTGGCTGGGCACTCCAGTCTTCTGTAGGAAACTGCTGGATGGGTACAGAGGGCACCTGCACACCCTCAGACCAGTCAGCCACCTCTGGCTGAGCCGCGGTGAACTCCGGGGCTGGTGCAGTCCATTCGCCCTGGAATTCCTCCTTGGTAACAGCCTTTTCGGCAGCAGCCTCTTCTTCCTTCTCAATCTCCTCTGGGTCTCTGTAGAAGTAAAGGTCAGGCATGACCTCCCATGGGTGCTCATAGGAGATAGTGCTACGCATGTGGAGTACTTCCCGGGCCAGCATCCACCACATCAGACCCACCGAGTGAGCTCCCTTGTTGTTGCATGGGATGGCTAGGTCCACGTAGCGTAGAGGAGAGTCTGTGTTACACAGGGCAATGGTGGGCAGGTTGATGTAAAACGCCTCTTTGAGGGGCTTGTGGTCAGCCCTGGGGTCAGTGACAACCAGGAGCCATGGCTCCCGGAAGGCTGCTTGGATCTGGTCGGTGAAGGTCCCCGGAGTGAAGCGGCCAGCAATCGGAGTGGCCCCCATGGCAGCAGCAAACTTCAGCATAGCTTGCTGCCCAGTGTTCCTGGAGGAGATGAGGCTGACATCAGCGGGGTTCTCAATGGCAACGATTCCTCAGGCTGCCAGCAGCAGCTTCTCCCAGGTCCTCTTCAGACTGATGATGTAGATGCCATCACTCTTCAGTTTGTAGATGTACTGCTCCATCTAAAAGTCAAGGTTGGTGCCACCTAAGTGGGTCCCTGCAGCAAGGAAATTGAGGACGTCCCCCTCCTTCATCTGCAGGACATCAAGGGCTCCGGACATTGTGTAAGTTTCTCTAAGTTAGGACACTATATGGACCCGTCCCGGGGCAGCTTGCGGAAAGGCGACCTTGAATTTCTAATCCTCCTGCCTCCACCTCAGAAGCGCTGGGGTCACAGGTGTGCACCACTGTTTATGCACTGAGAGTGGAAGCCAGGGCTCCAAGCATGCTGTGTAAACATTCTTCCATCTGAGCTGCATGGCTTTTTGCTGGGTCTTTTTGATGGTTGTGAGACCAGGGAGTGCCTCTGGCAGTTAGTGGGTCGTTATTAAAGGTGATGTGTTTGTAGGACAGTAAACAGCTCACAGAGCTGGCCTACAGACCATCTGACTTGTGGATTTCTCAAGGCCTTTTGTATGGAGTGCTACTTAAAATAATAATTTAAAAATTTATTGTATGTTTATGGGTGTTTTGCCTATATTCATGTCTGTGCACAAGGTGTGTGCCTGGTACCTGTGAAGACCAGAGGACTCAGTAAATCCTCTATTGTGAGCTGCCATGTGGGTGCTGGAAACCAAACCCAAGTCCTCTGGAAGAGCAGCGAGTGCTCTTAACTGCTGAGCTGTCTCTCCAGTGTCTGGAGTGCTATTTTCGATGGGCAATGCCTTGAGTCCCAAGTAGCTTACACAAGAATACAGAGTATTTTCCATAGTTGTTATTATACATAGAATGTGCTAGAAATACAACAACCATACAGAGTGGAGGAAGATAGAAGCACACTGAGTTGTCATTATTTGGGGACATTATATACCTTACCACAAAAACACTTAGGCATTTGAATTGAATTATCTCTTGGCATTGGAAGCTGGTTGTCACAATCCAGGATTCTTTGGATAGGAGAAAACTTATCCTTACTTTATCATGTTCCCAGTATAACTAATAAATATATCTCCAATTTGAAATGCATATGGCTTAAGGTTACTTTCCTCATTTTTAATTTAACTAGCACATTTAGCTGTTTTAAAAATCTTAGACCTTAAATACAGCTAACCCCTAAGACAGTTCTATCTAGTGAGGGTTTTTATTCATTTTTTACTTGGAAGTTAATGGAGCTTCAGAGATGCAGAGTAAGTCACCCAAGTTACAGAACAGGAAAGTGGATAACCAGGGATTTGAATTAGTCCTATTGGCCTACCATATTCCCCTCTGATGTGTCGGTTCTACCACTGGTAGCCAATTCTTGCTCTCTTGGCCTCTTAGGGCAATCCATGCTACAGGCTGGCTTTGTCCACTGCAGACATCACAGGACCACTAGGTGGCAGCTGTGGGATGAGGGCGGGGCGGGGTGGGGGGCTAGGGCTGGGTGAACCAGTGCTTATCTGATCGCCTGTCTCTCCTTCACAGCCCACCCCCACACCAGAGGACCTGCTATTTAACCTTTCCAGTCCTGTCCAGACCCCTGGAATGAAGCACAGCTGCCCTGTAAAGTCTCATGATGTTACCACATCTTACAGATGACAGAATACTCAGGAGGAATAATCCTCTGTTAGGGGGTTCCGGTGTTCAGCTGTGTTCCCCCAAAAGTGGAGCATGACTTCCCCAGGACTGATGGGAGGAGTCCCAGGTCAAGTGAGAACTGGGGTGGACAGGGTAGATGTCCCAGTAAACAGGGCATGGTCTCCAACCTTGGGTAAGGATAGAGTGCTCACCTGGGCCCCGCTCAGGGCTTCAGTCTCTTTCTGAGCTCTGGGGACCCAGGGGTTCTTTGGGCTGGTAATGCATGGTGACTGCTGGGTCAGTCTGATACCTGTGATGCTCATAGTCCCATCTGCAGCTTCCCCAAGGACATCCTAGAAACCCAGTAGCTGTTCTGCCAGACACAGCAGAGTCCAGGGCCTTCAGTGCAGAATCCAGCATTGCTGACCTGGTCAAGGGTGCCCTCTGCCAGGGGCTTACTTGAAGAAGACCCTTTAAAAGGAGACTGCCCCATCAGGGCAGCAAGCCATGAAAGAAGGGTTTTTGAGATGATGGTATCCTCTGGCTCCACCCAGTGCAACATGTGACTGTGAGGTTAGACAAAGAGAAGGACTTTCCAGGAAGGGGGTGGGAGCGGCAGTGGAGGAGCACTATTTTACTTAGAGCTGACATTCAGTGGAAAGGTTCCTTTTGGACCCCAGAGACATTTCTAAAGTTGCAAGCCTCAGAGACAAAGATCAAAGGCAAATGGGAAGACAGAAAAGGCCCCATTTGGCTGGTGAGGGTGTGGGAAAGGTAGAAGGGCGTCAGGCGGGCACGTGGTCCAGGGCCCAGTACCTACTTACTGACATTTTACTGAGAGCCACAACGACAGGGACTGAGTAGCAGGGTGGGACGCAGGAAGCAACTGGGACAGGAGCTCCGGTGAGAGGAGGGGGAGGGGCCGTGCTAGCTCAGGTGTGGAAGAAGCAGGTTAGGAAAGGGCGGGTGGGATACTTCTGAGCAGAGGCGGGGCGGGAAGACTAAGGCCTGAAGCTGCAGGGTGGCTGAGCATTTGGGAGAAGAGGGAGAAGGCCCGGGAACCCTGACCGGCCCTTCTAGGGACTGGACTGGCTGGGAAGGGCTTGTGCACTGAGACCCAGGGTCAGGCACAGGGCCTTGCTAGAGCTGAGGCCTCCAAAGGGGCTTGTGTCTGTGAGGGATCGGTAGGTCAGACCCTCCGCGAGGATCCTGCCAGGGGAGGAGCAGTGGGAGGCGGGGCAGAGGGGGAGGGCAAGAGGAGGGGCCGGGCCTCTGTCCACCGCGTCAGTGCTGGTTGGAGGGACGAAGGAGGCGCGGAGCCCGCCGAGCGGAGGGTTCCCACAGGCGAGCGGAGTCGGCTGCCATGGCGCTGGTGGGGCCTGTGACTTGGGGCTCCAGAAGAAATGTCCATCTCCTGTTGCTGCTGCTGCTGCTGCCGTCCTGGGTCCCGGCTGGTGAGTGTGGCTGGGGCTGGGGGGTTCACTCCAGGTAGACGCTGAAGGCCTGGCCTGAGAGTCTAGTAGCCACGTTCAAGGGAACCATGTCCCAAGCCCCAGAATATGTGGGGATCCTGAGGTTGGGGTATTCTGGGACTCACTTGGAGCGTTTGGGGTGTCCTGGTAACTTTATACTGAGGAGCTTATGCAAGTGGGGCCTGGAGAATCAGGTCTATTGTGATCTGCAGAAGCAGTTAGGGAAAGCTGAGGATCTTGGTGTAAGTGTCCCTTAGGGAAGGCATGTCGCGCTAGGTGGAAGTGAATGAATTGGAGAAGGTTTCAGAGAACCTAGACAATCACCATAGAGTCTACTGGAGTCATTCGTTGAGCTGGGGTTCAGGTAGCATGTAAAGTTGCCAGGCAGGTGACTTTCTGGGTTGGCCGGCCTATAGAAATTCTGTCTGAGGGAACTAGTGTAGAGAGTTGTGTCCTAGCTGAACTGGCTGTAAATTGTCTCAAATGTTCAACTGGCTTTTCCTGGCAACTGGAGGTGTGAGTGGGGATTGGGGGAGCAGGGGAGCGGTGGATTAGAATAGAGAAGGGGAAGAGAACCAGGGTGAGGGGTGCTTGCCTCGTTCCTGCTCCTCTGACTGCACTTGAGAGGCAACCATTAGAGCTGTTCTGGGTCTCTGGGATGGCTAGGGTTTGGGATCATGTGTGTGTCCCCTGCAGCCATCTCTGGCATTCCTCAGCTAGGCTGGAAGGGCTAACTGAACACAGTCCAGGCAGCCAATGCTCTTTTGCCTTTGTCCAAGTGCATCCAGCTTTGAGCCTGGAATTCCCACTTGTTGGGGGGGGGGGGGTTTGGAGGATGTTTTGGTTTGGTTGCTATAGTTACAAGGACAACAGGGAGGGCCTGGGTTCTGCCCAAGGTTGGTGAACCCCACCTGTGGCATTCCCTCTGCATGCCTAGCCTTTATTGCCTTTTCCTCTGGGGCAGGAGGAAGGATGGGTATATTGTGGACCCCACTTTGTAGGGAGGAAACCAAACAAAAGCTGGAGAAGGAAGGGACCTAGAAGCTGGGGTACCTGAGGCAAATGATGATGGAGAAGCCAGGCAACTCCAGGCTATCTGCACATTAAAGGTGTGAGGTTCTGGGATGTGCTCTTCGAGTTTGTCCCACCTGTACCACACAGGTGCTTATGACAGCTGCAGAGATGTTTGGCATAGGATACACACTGCAACAGGACAGGAGTCCACAGGCACATGCCAGGTAACCCTGTGAGCTCACTGGTAAACCATGTATCTCCATGTGCATAGCACATGCCTGCACATGCCAGTTGTGTACACACCAGCAGACTGCACTACATTCATTCATTCACACAGGATTGTTCATGTACAAGGACTATGAGGTGGGCAAACAGCATATCAGAGGTGCAGAAGGGAATACCATGTCCTGTATATTCCCCTTAGGGGCAGCCATTTTCCTGTGACTTCTGTATGCAGGAATTCCTGAAGCTGGGGTGGGAAACCACACACACCAATACCTAGAGCTGACTGAGGGAGTGGAAATGCCAGGAACTTTGTAATTTGAAAGCTAATTTCCATCTTCGAGGAGATGAAAGTTCTGGAGGCTCAGATGCCCACTCCTGCCAGGCCCTGAACTGGGCCCCTCCATCCCAGTCACTCTGCAGCAGAGGACTGCTTGTTGCTATGGAGAGGATGAGGCATCTTGGAGTACAAAGGGACACGTTGGGTCGTTCCCACCCCCAACCCTCTCCCTGAACACCCAGGGAGGGTAGCATACAAAGGGGCAGCCAGTCCTCCTCAAACCTGGCCCCTCCTCCCAGTTCATGTGTTGGGTGAATAGGAAAGAAGCAGGGTGCCACACACTTCCAACCAATGGGGGGGGGGGATCTGCTGGCTGCTGGGTGCTTGCCTCCAGCAAAGGTTTACTATGGCTGAGTCATACCACCCATTATGTTGAGAGCTTTTAATTCTCCCAGCAGCCAGCAAAGCTCTGTTTACAGAACAGGTGAATGAAGCTCAGAGAGGGCTAGTAACTTGTCTAGGGTCACAAGAGCAGCATGGTTGGGCCAGAATCACACAGGAGGTGGCAGTTTAGGTGCAAACACAGGTGTGGAGGTCAGAGGACAATTGTGGAGTCAGTTCTCTCCCTCCATATTCACATGGCTTCTGAGGATCAAACTCAGGTCATGAGCTCTCCAGAGCAAGTCTGCAGAGACATCTCGATAGCCCTCAAGGGGAAGCATATTAACAGTTGCTAGAGAAACTGTCCACAGTAGCCAAAACAAGTGGCAGGTCTGAACCACCCTGCTTATGGTCTCTCTCATTCAGAGCCAGAGACCAGGGACTAGCAACTTCAGCAACTAGCAACTAGCACTGTGCTGGTGCACTTAAACTTGCCAGGACTGTTACTAAATTATGCCTTTTGGCCTTGGGGTAAACATCTTTGAAAAAGCATATCCGAGCTTCCCTGACTTCTGGGGTGTCTTTGCCTTTTCCTGATGAGTGGGTGTTGAGTGTCAGTGACCCCTTTCTGCACTGTACCCCTTGGGGTTCTGTGCTTGCAGTTTTATGTCAATTTGACAAAAGTTGGAGGATGGACCCTCAATTGAGAAAATGTCTCTGTAAGATGGGCTGTAAGCGAGCATGTAGGCCATTGTGGGTCATCCCTGGGCTGGTGGTTCCTGGGTCTACAAGAAAACAGGCTGAGCAAGCCATGAGAAACAAGCCAGTGAGCAGCTCCCGCCACAGCCTCCACATCAGCTGCAGCCTCTTGACTGCCTGTCTTTACTGCCCTGACTTCTAATGATGAGTAGTAATGTGGACATGTGAGCCCTTTCCTCCTTGGCTTGCTTTGGTCAGGGTGTTTCACGGCAGTGATAACAGCCCTGACTGGCACAGAGAAAGTAAGTGTTCTACTCTACTGCTAAGCATGCCAACTGCTAAGCTCAAGGAGGAGAGTTCTGCTCTCCTGTGCTGCCACTGCAACCCGAGCTTTTGCACATGTGAGGCAAGTGCCACATACCCCTCCCAGACCTCCAGAAACCTCTCTGGGGAGGGGAGGAGGGGCTGGGGGGGCATATTAGGTTCACAATAGTTGGGCCTGTAATTTCACGAGCTTCTGTAGACGCAGATTTTCAGGCTCTTGATGGGAAGCAGTTCCTTTTTTCTACCTAGGAAGGAGTAAATATACCGAGATGGCAAAAGATGCCTGGCCCTAGAACACAGCTCTCACACAGTGACCACCGACAATGACCGCATGCGCTCCCTCATGCTCTCCTCTGGGTAGGGCAGGGTGCAGGTCTAAGGAAAGTGTCTGTGTCTGTTAATCTCTCCTCTGCCAGGTCAGCCCTGGCAGTCTGAGAGGTCAGGAGGGATTTGTAAAGATAAGCACTGGCCCCTTGTTACCCTGGTGACAGGCTCCGCCCTTCCAGCTAGGCCCTAGGGAGAACCCCTCCCCTCCCCTGCTCAGTCGACCCTCTGGGCTCACTGTTGGCCTGTCAGGGCCACCCTGGAGTGCGGTGGGACTGGAAGTGATGGGTCTCTGGATTGTAAAAAGGGCAGATAAAACTGTTGACACCACTGGTATCCAGGCAGCTTTGGGCCTCTTGTACCCTTCTGCCCTGTTCCACTAGAGGTGGCTTTTCTAATTGTGGGGCTGGGCTCCGCCTTGCAGGGAGTTCTTAGGGTAGCAGACCTCTGCAGGGCTTTCTGAGGACCAATAGAGGAGAAAAACGCCTTCTCCTGATGCTGTGGCCACTTAACATATAGGGCTCTGAGCTAGTGGCCAAGCTCCAGGTTGGGGTGAGGGGATGAGTACCTGTGCCCTGATGGGATTACAGTGGGAGCTGTTGGCAAGGGCCCAGTGGCAGGCGCTTCATAAGAGGCTACTCTGGGCCTTTTGGGCCTGGGGACTTTGGCTATCATGGCCGCTGCCTCTTAAGGGGCGTTCACTGGGTGTCAAGGATCTTCACAACACTGAATCTGTCTGATGCTCCAAACCATGCTCCATCCACTTCCTGCAGCACTCACCTGACCATTTCCCCATCACCCATCAAATTGTCTTCTTCCCCTCATAGGGTATCTATTCTGGTGTACCTGCACTGACCCTCCCAGTCTGTCCAGTCACAGGAGCAGTAGCAGAAGGTCCACCCACTTACTGCCTGTAAGCCCTCAGAGTAGCCCAGGCTGCCTTTTTCCTCAGCCCATAAGTTCAGGCTTGACAGAGACCTGGGAATGGATGCCTGGGCTGGGATAGCTGTGAGTAGAGGGGCCCCTTAGCCAGAAAGTATCTCAGACTCCACAACCTGACCCTTTGCCTGGCTCTGGTGGGTATTAGGTCCTGTGTGCAAGGAAGAACCCTGGGCACTTGAGATGGCACAGCCATGTCTCCCTGAGTCTACTGAACTGTGGCTTGCTGTCCTCCATCTTGGGCTGCTGAGGAGCATGGGGATATGGCCAGCAACTGCCCTGCCCCATGGAATGTGGATGACGCCTGACAGGCTGCCAACCTTATCCGGAGGGAGGGGGGGATCTTCATGGAGTGGGGGAGGGGAAGGTGCAGGGCCTTGATGCAGCTCACTGCTCAGGTCTGGCTAGTGTCTGCATGACAACCTGGGGGGGGGGAGGGTAGGTCCTAGAACTCCAGGCAGGGGGTAGAATAGCTCCCTTCCCTCACAGCTGTATCTGGCATCTGAGGTTTTGAACCCTTCTGCCACACAAAAGGAGGTCTCATAGCTCATGGTTCTCTGAGCTGGTTTTTGGACTTGTTAGTGACAGGTTTTCAGGCTGGCATGAAGTGAATAAGGCTCTCTGAACTTGGCTTCTAAATCAACACAGAGCGCTCCATCCTGGTCCTGTACCCATTGAGTAGGTCAAGGACACTATATCTGCTCTGTCTCAGGTGCTTATGCCAGGCATTTGCCTGTGGGGGGTGAAATGGGTGCTAGTGATCCTCTAGAAGTCCCAGGCAAGAAGGCAGGAAGGTGGGACCAGGGTGGGCAGGAGTGAGAGAGGCTGAGTCAGGCCCAGCCTTTGAAGTCCATTCTTTCTGTGAGGCTGAGGTCGGACATCTTAGGTTTCAGTTAGGGATGAAGTTACCAGACCCCCAGCGGAAGCTTGGGGGGATAGAAGCTGTCCCCTCCTTTGTTTCCTCCACCCCACTTCAGGCTGCTGAGAGGACACAGGCCTGCGAATGGAAAGGCCTGGCGAGCTACTCCCTGGTGCAGTGGGACCACCCTGGCATTGAGGTCTGTTCCTTGTGAACTTACTGTGTGATGTCAGCAAGTCTTTACTTCCTTGAGCTTCTATTGCTTGTCTGTAAAGTGAACATAGAACAGTCCAAGCCTACTAGGGGTGCTGCAGGGGTGACCAGAAAGCAGTGTGGATACTATCTGTTATGCAATGCTATCACATGGGAGCCACTCATTCTGTCCTCTGTTTCTGCTGTCTATATACAACTGAAACCTGCCTGGGCCTGGAGGAGGGGTAGTTCATTCTGCAGAGCTTTCACCAAGAAGCCCTGGGTTTGATTCCCCAGCACTCCATCAACCTGGAGTGCTAGTGTATGCCTATAATCCCAGCATTTAGGAGGTGGGAGAGAGGACTGACATTTAAGGTCATCCTTGGATACATAGCAAGTTCCAGGCTAGATTGGACTACCGAAGAGTGCTTCTAAAATTAAACACAAAATAAGTAAAGAAAACCTATTAAGAGTAGTTTTAACAAAAACCTCAGTCCCAGGCATAGGTATCTGCCATTCGGGATCAGCTTGTAGATGTGCATGCAGGCTCTTAAAAACAGACAGTCCTGTGTTATCTTTAGGTTTGTTGCTAACATTGAGAGAAGGGTGCATTATGCAGACCCTGCCCACATAGCCAAATTGCTTTCTTTTTTCTGCAGGGCTGATTCCTTCAGAGACCCCAAGTGCCTGTACCTCAGACCCATGTGCTCCAGGGACCCAATGCCAGGCTACAGAAAGTGGTGGCTATACCTGTGAGCCAGTAGAGCTTGGAGGCTGTGCTACTCAGCCATGTCACCACGGTGCATTGTGCGTGCCCCAGGGCCCAGATCCCAACAGCTTCCGCTGCTACTGTGTGCCTGGCTTTCAGGGTCCCTACTGTGAGCTGGACATTGATGAATGTGCATCCCAGCCTTGCCACCATGGGGCCACCTGCCGCAACCTAGCAGATCACTATGAGTGCCACTGCCCCCTGGGCTATGCAGGTAATGGAACCAGTCACCTTGGAGGGCTGGGCCATGAAGGCCATCAGCTACTCATAGTGTAAGCATCCCTATTTGGCTTTGGCTCAAGTCTAGAGATGCCTCGGGCTGGCTAGCAGCTTTGGTACCCACACTTGGACTGGTGGCTCAACTGATCTTTCTTGGGCTAACATGGAAGGTGGGACTGGTTCAGCTAACCTAGCAGGTGGGATTGGTGCATGTGTGTTTAAGTGTTGGTGTGGAACCTGGCACATATTAGGTAACTGACAAATATTGCTTTTGTCTGCCACAGAACTGAGTTAGGTCCCTGATGGAGGCCAATGCTAGCAGGGCACACCTGCCTGGTTTGGCTTTCATGACAATGCCCAGATGGTGTCTCTAGCAATTCCTCAGTGTAGACCTGTGTCAGGCTGCCATGTAGACCTCTGTCCTCTAGGCATCCTGAATGGGATCCTTTTCTCTCTGTGATGGGGATGTGTTCCCAACCGTCCTTGTTGCTTAGAGTAGAATAACGTAGAAGCAGGTGGCTAGAAATGTGGCTGTCATGGACACACATGCTTTCTCTTCCTGGGAACACCTCACCCCAGTCCCTTTCTGCTCCCACTGCTGCTTCCTGGAGCTGCCTGACATCAAGAGGGAGGGTACAGCTGGGGATAGGTCCTCAAAGGATATTTAATTTAGTGTAGTCGGGGGTTTCTGTCAGCCCTGAATTTAGACACTGCTCAAACTGCGGGGCAGTTTGAAAAACTGGGACCCTGCATCTTTCCCCTCTCAGGGTCTGTACATTTGTGCAGGTGAGACTGTGGGTCCCGTGGGTATGGTAATTCTAAAGGCACTCTGAGCACCTGCTGGTGTCATGTCTGTGTATGCTTCTATGGAAAGTGTGTGTGTGTGTGTGTGTGTGTGTGTAGGTATGTGAGCACTGCATGTGCAGGATACCAGCCAATGTGATCATTGTGATATGAGCAGGCAGCTTTGTGTGACTAATTTCTCTCCTCCTTCTGTTCAGAGCAGGGTGGGGGAGTTGGGATTCCAGGAAGTCTGGGCCTGGCTCTCCCTGGCACAGAGGTTGGGAGTGGGGCTGGAGGGTCATGGGAAGGAGGAGTCCTGAGGCTTGTTGGCTGGGAAGTAGGGGGGAAGCTCCAGCTGGAGGCAGCTGGCTACTTAGCCTTCATGATGAAACCTACTTAGGTGGTGGTGGGGGGCATGGAAATCTACATTGACAGGATATGTCTCATAAATCCCACACCTGGAGATCTTCCATCTCCCTCCATTCCTCTCTGTCTCCACTCCTATCCTGGGAGGGTCAACGTGTACTCAGGGTTTCCCCAAAAGCATGGGAATTCCTGGGCAGAACCAGGGACTTCAAGTTTTAAAACCAAGGCAGGATAGGAGTTGATGACCCTACTCTGGAGTGCCCCTCTTTTGTGGGCTCCCTTCTTGCATCCACCAGTGAGTCTCCTGAACTGCATTGTTGTGCAGAGCTGCTGTGTTGGTTACCCTTCTCATTGCTCTGGTTGAATACTTGACAAGAAGCAACTAAAGGAAGGGTGCACTTTGGCTCTTGTGGGGATGCTGTCCGTCATGGTGTCGAAGGTAGGGCAGGAGCAGCAATAGCCATCTGGTCACACTGGGTCTCCAGCTGATGCCAGTGCTCAGCTTGCTTTCTCCGACTTTCCATTTTTATTCAGTCCAGGATCCCAGCTTGCCTTCCTCAGTTGAACTCTCCTGGAGACTCCTTCCAGACACAGCCAGCAGTGTGTCTCCCAGGCGATTTAAAGTCAGGTCAAGGTGACCACAAAGATTGGCTGTCATTACCCCTACCAACGACTTGCATTTTTATTTATGTGTATGTCATGTGTATGGGTTGCCAGAAGAGGTCCTGGAGTGAGAGAATACTAGGAATTCTGTCTGAGCATCCTCATGAAAGCCAGGCCTGATCTGTCAGGGCAAGTGTGAACTACTTAATGTGGATGCTGGGCATGGAACTCCGGTCCTCTGGAAGGGCAGGGAGTTAGTGCTCTTTATGGCTCAGCCATCTCTCTAGGCCCAAAGCCTGACCAGTTTGGATGAGGGGGTCTTGCTGCTCTCATGCCTCTTACCTCCCTCCTCCACTCTCCCCAGGTTCTGTCTGTTCTCCATCCTCCCAGGGCCACCAACTGTTACCCACCTGTCCTAGCTCAGTCTTCCAAAGCCTTTTCTGAAGAAGTCCCCCACTCCCACCCTTGCTGCCAGCACCCCAGGACAGACCCTAGCTCCTACCCTCAAGGGATTCAGTTCTCTCTCTTGTTGAGGTCATCATTATTAAACACCAGCCCTTTCCCGGCCTACCCCACTTTGAGGCCGCCAGGACAAGGAGGATCCTTTTGTGTCTACTTAATATCACCTCCTCTGAATGATAACTGGAGCAGATTGGGACTATTGGCTGGGCCACTATCGCCCTGCTAGATGTGGTTCCATGTCTCCTGCCCCTGTCCAGGCATAACATGTGAGGACGAGGTGGACGAGTGCTTGTCAGCGCCCTGCCTGCACGGAGGCTCGTGCCTAGACGGTGTGGGCTCCTACCGCTGCATGTGCGCTCCAGGTTATGCGGGCGCTAGCTGCCAGCTGGATGTGGACGAGTGCCAGAGCCAGCCGTGCGAGCATGGGGGCGTGTGCCATGACCTGGTCAATGGGTGAGCCCTGGGCGGGGTGACCTGACTGCGGGGTGGTGGGCTGCAGGATGGACACACACTCAGCTCCCGCCTCATCCACGCCAGTTTCCGGTGCGACTGTGCGGACACGGGCTACGAAGGTGCCCGCTGCGAGCAGGAGGTGCTGGAGTGCTTGTCGGCGCCCTGCACGCACAATGCATCCTGCCTCGACGGCCTCCGGAGCTTCCGCTGCCTCTGCTGGCCAGGTGTGTGGAAGCCTCTCTCCCTCCCTCCCTCTCCCTCTCCCTCTCCCTCTCCCTCTCCCTCTCCCTCTCCCTCTCCCTCTCCCTCTCCCTCTCCCTCTCCCTCTCCTCTCCCTCTCCCTCTCCCTCTCTCTCTCTCTCTCTCTCTCTCTCTCTCTCTCTCTCTGTGTGTGTGTGTGCGTGCGTGCATTAAGGGGGAGAGCTCCTTGGCCAATGTGGTGGGGCAGGTGTGAAGGCTTGTGCATGCATGAGTACAGTCTGGGCCCTCTGAGTCCTGCACTTGTAACTTATGTGCATGAGTCTCAGTTTCCTGATCTGCAAACAGGGCTGCTAACAGCACCTGCCCTTGGGTTGTAGAGAGGAGTGATGGTATACTTGGCACACAAGAAGGACATCTGAGTGTATTTGTAGCAATTAGTAGTGTCCCTACAGTCTCTCTGTCAGCAACCACATTCTGTCCCTATCCTGTCCTCAGTTGGCTTGGGAGCTACCTAATCACTTGTTTCCTGATGCCTTCATGTGCACTACAGGCTTCAGTGGTGAGCGGTGTGAAGTGGATGAAGATGAGTGTGCATCGGATCCCTGTCATAACGGGGGCCTGTGCTTGCAGCGCTCTGACCCAGCCTTGTATGGGGGTGTTCAGGCTACCTTCCCTGGAGCCTTCAGCTTCAGCCACGCCGCTGGCTTCCTTTGCACCTGTCCTCTGGGCTTTGCCGGTGAGTTGCCTACTGGAGAAGCACTCAGTCAGGGTCCAGATCCCCCAGGATGGATCCAGCCTGGCCCATGACCTGGCCCTACCAGATGCCACCTTTCTCTCTTTCTCTCAATCTACCCAGTTATAAAATGGACACTTTTGGTTCTTGGCTCTGGGGATGCAGGCAGCAGCCACAGTTGATCTTTTTGTAGGGGATGACTGCAGCGTGGATGTGGACGAGTGTGCCTCAGGACCATGCCTCAATGGTGGCAGCTGTCAGGACCTGCCCAACAGTTTCCTGTGCTATTGCCGGGATGGATACACAGGTGCACAGGTGGGGGAGGGGTGGGCTGGCATGGAGGTAAGGCTGTGTGTGAATTGATACACACAGGAAATGAGGCTGAAGGTGGGTGTGGTGGCACAAGTGACAACTGGGGTTGTGTGCTGAACTGGAACCCCAGCTTTGTAGGTGGAATGGGAGGGGCTGGTCAGTTTGAGTAGTCAGGAGGGAAGCATGGAGTGGGTGACATCAAGGCTGCCCTGGGGAACGTTGGCTAATGTTGGTTGGTTGGTGACTTTGGCCCTGTAGATACTGAGTGTCTGTGGAGCCAGGGACAGCCTGAGAGACCCAAGAGAGGGATCTGAACTGGGGTCAGTACTGGGGTTTATGTATAGATGTCTGGTTCTGAGGCTGCAGGCTGTCTGGGAGAAACAGTAGAGCGATAACCAGAGAGCTGGGCCGTGAACCCTGCTATCAAATCAAAGGGGGACAGAGCCTTAGCCAAAACAGAAGACACAGCTGTGCACATGTGTCTGCCTTCCGAAGGACATGCCTTGCCTCTTGGGAGTTGTGCCTGCTGTCAGTGGCTGGAGTGCAAAGCTCTCCTTGCAGACACAGGGCCACCCATGAACACAATCTTCCCTCTAATGACCCTGCCCCCACTGGAATTCGGGTAGTACTCCCCCACATCATAGCATTCCTGCTCCTGCTTAGCATACAACAGGAGCTCCTTTTTCTGCAGGTCCCTGGAGGCCATTTCCTTTGCTTGGGGAAGGGGCTGGAGATACATCCCCTCCTTCCTATCTTGACCACTCAAAGATATTTGAGCTTGCCAGGTGTGGTGGTGCACACCTTTAATCCCATCACTCGGGAGGCAGAGGCAGGTGGATCTCTGTGAGTTAGAGGCCAGCCTGGTCTACAGAGTGAGTTCCAGGACAGCGGGGGCTACACAGAGAAACCCTGTCTCCAAAACCCAAAAACAAACAAGTGGCCCACTCGTCCATAATCTCATAAGTAGGGTTTGCCATCCCCATCTCACAGATAAGGCAATGAAACCTGGAAGCGGGTGTCTACACAGGGTCTGTGGGAACTCAGCTCCTTGCAGTTAAAAAACTAGTGGGTGGCAGGGAGAAGATCTCTGAGTTTGGAGTCCTGGAGGAGAGACCCTAGTTGGTGAGGAAGGTCCACCTGGCATCCCGAGTTGTCCAGAAGGAGGCAAGCAGCCCAGGCTGGTCGCTCCTCTCTTAAGCCTTGATGCATCTGTAGGTGACCACAGGGATGTGGGGCCTGAGCCCCTTTCTGGGGAGCCTGAGGACTGGGGCCTCCCAAAGGAAGAGTTTACAGCTGTGCCTGGTGACTGAGGAGGAGCTGTGTGGGCTGACTGATCCTGACTGACTCCTCTGGGCCTGGGTCTCTCCAGCTGAGGTGTGGGTTTAGGCCTTGGCTTGTGCTGTGGATGTTCTGGCTGAACTGGGATTTCACTTAGGCCTTTGCTTCTGGAGGAGAAGAGGGGGTGGCACCTTCTCAGGCAATGTAGGGACCCTTGGGCAGACCTAGGGCAAAGGGACTGAGGAGTGGGCCCGGGGGTGCTCAGTGTGTTCCAGGTGTATCAGTTACTGTGACTGGTCCACATCTACAAAGGCTATACCTACCAAGGGCAGATTCAGGCTCCAGAGGGAAACAGCTGAGTAAACAGACATTCTTAGCTCAGGGTTATGGGAGTTGTGTTGGAGTGTTGGAGTAGTTTGGGCAGGTGTGAGGGAAAGCTGTGGGCCCTCTGAGGGCTTTGTGGGATGAGGAAGAGTTTGGAAGGTGAATGGCTGGGTCATATATAGCAAAGGAGTATGGCTAGGTGACACCCTAGAAAGAGACTTGGTTACTGTGGAGACAGATGGGGAGGAACTTCCAAAGGCAGCTAATCTGGAGGCTGCCAGACCTGCTCCAAGAGCTGGCAGGGGAAGAGGTACTGGTTGGAAAGTGGAGTCAGGGAGTGCTTAGGGGGTCAAACCCACAGGGGCATGGAGACTTATCAAACATGGCCAGGAAAAGGATTCCTGGGGCCTGGTTTATAGGTGCCTAGGTCAGCATCACCAAGAAGCATGTGAGTTCTGGTTGGAGGCTGTGACTCTGGCCTGGTGTGCTGACTTTTGGCTGATCTCTCCCCTTTAGGTCTGACATGTCAGGAGGATGTGGATGAATGCCAGTCGGAACCTTGCCTGCATGGTGGAACCTGCAGTGACATTGTAGCAGGCTATATCTGCCAGTGCCCTGAGGACTGGGGTGGACATGACTGCTCTGTACAGCTCACAGGCTGCCAGGGCCACACCTGCCCACTAGGTGCTACCTGCATCCCCACTTTCAAGTCTGGGCTCCACAGTTATGCCTGCCACTGCCCACCTGGGACCTATGGGCCTTTCTGTGACCAGAATACCACCTTCTCGGTCGTGCCTGGAAGCTCTGTGTGGGGATTGGTGCCAGCTGGTGTCTCTCTGGGTCTGGTGCTGCGGTTTTGTACCACACTGTTTGCTGGGGCCCTGGCCACTCTCAGGGACACCCAAGACAGCTTGGAGTTGGTACTGGTGAGGGCCACACTCCAAGCCACACTCTGGAGACATGGCACTGCTGTACTTGTCCTTATACTGCCAGACCTAGCCTTAAATGACGGCCAATGGCACCAGGCGGAGGTGACACTCCGCCTGGGAACCCTGGAGCTGCGGCTCTGGCACGAGGGCTGCCCTGGCCAGCTCTGTGTGGCCTCTGGTCCTGTGGCTACAGGTCCCACAGCCTCAGTGGCCTCTGGCCCTCCTGGGCCCTACTCCATCTATCTTGGTGGCTGGGCCTTTGCAGGCTGCTTCCAAGATGTGCGTGTGGAAGAGCACCTTCTGCTGCCTGAGGAGCTCAACGGAAATGTGCTCCTGGGTTGCAAACGCAGAGAACCATGCCAACCTCTGCCGTGTGCCCATGGAGGGGCCTGCGTGGATCTATGGACTCACTTTCACTGCAACTGCCCAAGACCTTACCATGGGCCCACATGCACTGACGGTAAGGGGTCAGTGGGTGGGGAGGTAGCATCAGTGCTGGGCCCCTAACCTGCTGGCCTCACCTCAGTACTATCTCTCCCCACAGAGGTTCCAGCTGCCACCTTTGGCTTGGGCGGCACCACGAGCTCAGTCTCCTTCCTGCTCCACCAGTTGCTAGGCCCAAACCTCACTGTGTCATTTTTTCTCCGCACCCGGGAGCCTGCTGGTCTGCTTCTCCAGTTTGTCAATGATTCAGTGACTAGCCTAACTGTGTTCCTGAGTGAGGGCCAGATCTGGACTGAGGTGCTGGGTCATCCTGCTCTAATCCTCCCTGGGCGCTGGGATGATGGACTCCGCCACTTGGTGGTGCTTAGTTTTGGCCCTGACCAGCTGCAGGACCTGGGCCAGCAGCTGTATGTGGGTGGGAGGCTCTACCCTGATGACACCCAGCCCTGGGGTGGGCCCTTCCGAGGATGTCTCCAGGACCTGCAACTCAATGACCTCCACCTCCCCTTCTTCTCTTCACCAATGAAGAACTTAAGTTGGCCTAGTGAACTGCATGCTGGCCAGTCGTTTAACCTCACGCAGGGTTGTGTCTCTGAGGACATATGCAATGTGAGTGCCTGAGGCAGGGTCCTTAGCTAGGGTCTGTGTTATGACATAGGCAAACTGAGGCTTAGAAAGCCACATGACCTGCTCAGAATTCTGTCATTAGAGTGGAAGAGTACCTGTTTCCCCCCTGTCCAATTGTTCTTCCTTCGAGTGGTCCCAGAATTCCGTTTGTCCCAGTCTGAGATGACACCCTTAGACAGAGAATGGACCTCAGCCTTTCTGCAATTGCTGTCTGTGGGAAAGAGGCAGTGAGGGTTATGAGCAGAACATAGGCTAGAATAACCCAGTGCGAACAAGGCTAGCCTCGTTACTGGCTGGGTTCCTCAGACTAGGTGGCCTCACCTAGCTGGGCCTAGTTTCCCATCTATAATGTAGGGGTGATGACAAGTTCCCCTTCAACTTTGTGGCGAGATGGTCCATGGGGGTGGGGTGCTACTTTCCTCATTGCTCATTGATATCCTGACTCTTCCACAGCCAAATCCTTGTTTCAATGGTGGAGCTTGCCACATCACCTGGAATGACTTCTACTGCACCTGTTCTGGCAACTTCACAGGGCCCACCTGTGCCCAGCAGCTGTGGTGCCCCAGCCAGCCTTGCCTCCCACCTGCCACCTGTGAGGAGGTTCCAGATGGCTTTGTGTGTGAGTTTGGGTGCTGGACACTGAAACTGGTTAGATCCTTTAGGGTTTATGGGATGTTGGGCTGTGGACCAGGAGTGCCAACACCACCAGTGTAGTGGGACACTGCATTCTGAAGGACAGAGACTCTCAGGGTTTTCAAAGCAACTTCAAGTGAGCCACAGCAGAGGAACATTAGGAAAGGGGGAGGGTGTGGCATGTGTGAGGTTTTTGAGGTTCTTAAGGACAACAGAAACACAAGGTTAGGAAGATGCTGTCGAAGATGGATTGAGAAGTTGGTAGGGATTTGAAGCCCAGCTCAGAGACCAAGGGTCCCACATTGCTCACACTAGCCTTGAACTCATTATGTAGCAAAGGGTGATCTTGAACTTGTGATGGTCCTGCCTCAACTTCCCCAATTCAGGGACTCCAATGTGAAGGGGTGTCAAGGATGGAACCCAGGGCCTTCTATATGCTCTCTACCAACTAAGCTACATTGCCAGCCTTACAGAGGGTTGTAAATGGGAGAGGGATTTGATTGGATGTGCGCCTGAATTAGGTGAACAGTGAGCCTCCCTCAGGGAGGAGGGGAGCAGGCTGGACTTGAGTTGATACTGTTGATATAGCTAATGTTTTCAGGGTAGCAAGTGTTGTGTTCCCCTTAGTATTGCCCTGGAACTGATTCCCTCCAGGTGGAGAATGCATAAGGGGTAGAAATGGCAGGCTGCCGTTTCTGAGGTCAGGTGACAGGTGCCTGCCCTGGTCAGTCCTTGTGGACAGTGGACCCTATCACCTGCACTCTGAGCAGGGAGGAAAAGCTGGCATGGCTGGTCATTTCCCAGTGGCTCTAACTCTCTCTGCAGGTGTGGCCGAGACTACAGTCCGCGAGGGCCCTCCTGCTGTGTTCAGCGGTCACAACGTGTCCTGGGCACCCGCAATGAGCGAGCTCACCCTAGCCTTCCGCACTCGCGACCTGGAGGCTGTGCTGCTGCGCGCCGCTGCGGGCGCCCACTTGGGTATCTGGCTGGCTGTGCACAACGGCTCACTGACAGTGGATGTGGCTGGCTCGGTGCTGCCCGAGCCCGGACCACGTGTGGCCGATGGTGCCTGGCACTTCGTGCGTCTGGCTCGGGAGCTTCCACAGGCCGCCGTCTCGCGCTGGCTGCTGTGGCTGGATGGCGCGGCAATGCCTGTGGCTTTGCAGGGCCTGGGCGGCGACCTGGGCTTCCTGCAAGGCCCGGATGCCGTGCGCATGCTGCTGGCTGAGAACTTTACTGGATGCATGGGCCGTGTGGCACTCGGCGGTCTCCCGTTACCCTTGGCGTCGCCGCGGCCCGGTGCGATCTCTGGAGCCCGAGAGCACTTCGTAGCCTGGCCCGGGTCGCCGGTCATGCGCCTTGGCTGCCGCGGTGCGCCTGTGTGCGCGCCCTCGCCCTGCCTGCATGGCGGTGCTTGCCGTGACCTCTTCGATGTCTTCACCTGCGCCTGCGGTCCAGCCTGGGAGGGACCCCTCTGCGAGGTCCGCGCTGATCCGTGTCGCTTGTCGCCCTGTGTCCGGGGCCAATGCCATGTACGCCCCGAAGGCCGCTTCGAATGCCGTTGTCCTCTTGGCTTCGCAGGCCCACGTTGCAGGTGTGCTGTGGCTGTGGGCAGAGGGGTTTGAAGGGATGAGTTCTCCTTAGTCTCTCTTTCGAAATGGGAAAGTCACTTCTATTTGATGCTCATAAAGAGGTTAGGCTAAATTTGAATTAACAACATTGTGGTTTGAGGAGAGTTAGGAGGGCAGAAATAATTACGGGCATGATTTGGGGACTTTGAAGGAAGCTGCCCTTAGTGATGGTCTCCGTCCATCCCCAGGGCCAGAGCCTTTGCAACTCTCCCCATTTCTTCCTGGGTCCAGAGCTGCCTAGCCCTCTCTTCAGGAAGTTTAGGAACTGTGTTGCCCTGCCCTTTAATTTCAGCACTTATCAAAGGCCTTGGCTCTTGTGAGGGGAAGCAGCAGAATGACTGACAGACTCTGTGTTCTTTGGCTGTAGAGGGTGGGCATTCCTCAAATGAGAGCACTGTGGTCAACTCACAGCACCCTACTTCCTACTTCCACCCAGCTTCCTACTCTCTCCACAGGTTGCCTGTTCTGCCTCAGGGATGTAGCCTCAATTCCACCTGCAAAGATGGCACCCCTTGTGAGGGTGGTTCCCTAGGCACCAACTGCAGTTGCCAGGAAGGCCTTGTTGGCCTGAGGTGGGTCTGGGAGCCAAGGTCATGGGAGGTTGCCCCTGGATTCTCAGCCTTGGCAAGGGAAACGGGGTCCTCCTTGTCTTGCCCTCACTGTCATCAGTGCCGATAACCCCCCAGTGTCACTTGGTCTGTCTAGGACTCCCAAGACCATTGTCTCTTAGCTGGATGCCAGTAGGACGGTAGTTGTCTAGCCAGTTTTTGGGGGGTGGTTCAAGACAGGGTTTCTCTGTGTAACAGTCCTGGCTGTCCTGGAACTCTTGTAGATTAGGCTGGCCTCTTCCTCCCAGTGCTGGGATTTAAAGGCATGTGCTACCACTGCCTGACTTTTCTTTTTTGAAATGTGGTTTCTCTGTGTATCCCTGGCTGTCCTAGAACTTACTTTGTACACCAGGCTGGCTTTGAACTCAGAGTTACCTGTCTATGTCTCCCAAATGCTGGGATTAAAGGTGTGCACAGCTACCTCACAGCCCACCTAGTTTAAGGCCCATTGGTGCTTAGTGGACACAGCCAAAATGCAACCTGTGGGCCTCCAGAATGTGCAGTTGGCATCCCTCCCTGCTACATGCTCTTCCTCATTTTCATGGAGTAGGAGCCCTTGTTAGGCATAAATATTGGGCTCAAGGGGAATGGGTAGGTGATGGGAATCATCTTCAGCTCTGGTCACTTGACAGTGATGAGGCAGGCTCAACAGTGGCTAGATGAGCTTTGATGCTTGGGTGGAGGAGGGGAGCAGCTAGGGGAATGGGGGGCAGCTCTGGTGAGAGGAATTGGCTTTCTTAGCCTCTGTCTCTTCCAGGTGTCAGAGTCCTAACCTGTCTTGTGAAGTCAACCCTTGCTTGAATGGGGGCACCTGCCGGGCAGCCAGTGGCATATTTGAATGTACTTGCAATGTAGGATTCTCTGGCCAGTTCTGTGAAGTGGTGGTGAGTGGTTCTCAGGGGTGGGCTGCTAGGCCTGTTTGGACTATAGCAAAAGAACAGTGGGCAGGGAGGGCATGGCCCTTGTGGACTTATTACTGGGGCTTCCTGGTGGTATTAGTACCATCAGGGTAGTGGCAGTGGGGGGACAGGTTGGGATCTTCCAACTGTACTCTGGGACTGGCTTCTGAGCCCACAGGATCATGGAGCTTGTAGTCTCCTTGGGCTCCAGAGCAATTTCTGAAGCAGAGCCTGCCAGTGCAGGCTCTGGCGCTGCAGGTAACCTTGCCCCAAGGAGGCTCAGCTGACAGAGGTGTGGGCCTGTGGGGACCAGCACCAAGCCTTGGGGAGGCCCTGATACCAGAGTGGGTGCTGATATAGGGTTTTCTGTAAGGGCAGTCTGGGGAGTGGCCTTGATCCCTGTAGGTTCCTCGCAGTCTGGCTTTTGCTTCTGGGAAGTGTTGAACTTTTACAGGCTATGTACCCACCCCTACCCCAGGGAAAGGAAGTGACCTTACAGCTCCTGATGAAATGCTGTAGAGAGGGAAGGTGTGAACTTTATGGTTTTGGGGCCTCATTCTCTGGGCTTGAATGCTGGGGGTGGGGATAAAAGTTACAGACAGTGGGCTGCCTCAAGAATTCTGATTTGGGGGATATGAGTTCTAGGCACATGGAGTCTTTGATGGAGGCACTGTGGGAGTCTGTGACTGAAGATGGGGAAATGCTGCCCTCACCCCCCAAGCAGGCTCAAGTGTGCTGGGGACAGGCTGTCAGAGCAATCCCTTGCAAGTAGGCAGGTCATAATGAGTTCTGTCTGTCCTTGTCATTAGTGGGCTCTGCTTTCTGCTCTTTACTTCAGCTGTTGTTGAATTGTGTCAAGCCCCTCCCCCACAGGCACTCCTGGAATGTCTACTGTCTACTGTCCTAGCCAGGGCTATGCAGCACTCCCCTTGCCTTGGCTTGGACAGGTGGCTTCCTGGCTTCTGCCTTCCCACCGCAGGAGCTGCTCTCCTGACTTTGGGAAGCCTACTTCCCTGAGTCTTCTTGTTTCCCATCTCTTGCAGAAAAGTCCGCCTCTGCAGCTGCCGTTCCCACTGCTGTTGGTAGCAGTGCCTGCAGCCTGTGCCTGCCTCCTCCTCCTCCTCCTGGGGCTCCTCTCAGGGATCCTGGCTGCCAGAAAGCGCCGCCAGTCTGAGGGCACTTACAGCCCAAGTCAGCAGGAGGTGGCAGGGGCCCGACTGGAGATGGACAGTGTCCTCAAGGTGCCACCAGAAGAAAGACTTATCTAAGCTGGCCTGGCTGCTGGAGCCACTGAAGGTCCTGCAGGATCGTTGCAGAACATCCCCTGGAGGCCCAAAGAGACTTTCCACAGCTAGGACATCCACAGGATGCATCCCATGGTTGGCAACCATTGCCCCTGTCCATTATGGACTCAGAAAATGGGGCACAACTCAGGGAGGCAGAGAAGGCTAAGGGAGTATGAATGTCTCTGACCTGCTGGGCTGCAAACAGGAGGGTACATGTGGGTGCCCATGGTATGATTGACAGGTGTGTGTATGTGTGTGTCTTTGTGCCTGCTGTTTGGGGGAGAAGAGGGGAGAGAATGGACAGGGGAAAAGGAGGGAGGGAGTGAGAGTGGAGAGGACAGGAGAGAGAGAGGGAGGGAGAGAGGAAGAGAGGGAAAGAGGGAGGGAGGAAGGGAGAATGAATTATGTGGGCATGTGTTGGTTTGCAGATTGCAGTGTTGTGACAGGGCTTGTGGGCATGCCCTGTGTGTCTGTCCACATGAATGTAGTGGGGCAAAAGTGATTGCACAGTGGCTGCTTCATGACTGGAGGTAACCTGGATGCTTCTGAGACAGGGGAAGCCCAAGGCTGCACGCTCTCTAGTACTGGACAGGCCAGAGCTTGCCCAAACACCCAGACTTTGGTTTTGACATCTTGTCCTACCTCCAAGGACAGCCCTTGTCCCAGAGAAGCTGAGATATGGAGGAGAATTCTTGGCTTCCAGAACAAAAGCCCTTTTGGGTTGATCTAACTGACAGTGCCGTGGCCAATACCCCTATGTCTGAGGGCAGGCCTGCAGGAACCAAGGGCCAGCTGCCCTGGGCCATCCTGCCTGCAGATGTGGAGCAACCTCTCTGCCTACCTCACAGGGCTGTTCTGAGGATCTGAGAGACAAAGAGGCAGAAACTCCAGAATCTGTTAAAACTCCATCTGATGGAAAGGACTGGCTGCCCTTGGGAATGTTGGAAAGTGTCTCACCTGCCTACAGCCAAAGGGGCTTCCTGGGACCCTGGCAAGGAAGCCAGAGTGCAGAAAATGAAGGTGCTGTTCTCTGTCCCTGGCCCTGCAAGCTTCCCACCTTGCAGTTCTGCAGCACAGGCTGACCTATTGCCTGCAGTTCCGTTGACTGTGTATGGCTGTTGAGAGAAAGCATGCCAAGGAAGGTCTCAGTTGTGTGCTCAATAGTGCTCAGCAGTTGGACATTGGCAGCTACTACACTGGCACCCAGGCTACAGGATTACCTCTTGTGTATAAACACTCAAGTGCACTTGACCTCTAACATCATCCCCAGAGGACCCACCTGCAGGTCTAGCCTCCTTTGGACTTCCCAGAGCTCTTTGACTTGGAGATGTGTCCTTTAACATCCATGCTTACCAGGCCAGTGCCTCCTCTCTGGGGGTTCCATGTGTAAATGCCAGGAGATTTATACAGGAAGCTGGGTGTCTCAAGGTTTCAGTCATCTCCAGAAGGTACAGGCTTGGGGGTAATGGGAACTCAGTAGAAGCTCTGATGAGACCCTGGATGCTAAGAGGCCTGCTTAGTCCTTACCCTGTAGCAATGGGACTAACTTGCCCCTAGCTGTCTCTGTGTCCCTTAGGAGAGGGGAGAGGAAAGGGGTTCCTGGGTAGACTATTCCAGTTACCAGCTCCTAAGATGTTTCCTGTGGAACACCAGCAATGAAACATTCCAGTTTCACCTCAGTTATCACCAAAGTGGCCTACACAAGTGCCCACTTGGGGGTAGAGGCTGCTCTTGTTGAGATATGGGGGGAGGGGTGGAACTTTGTCTTTGCAGTCATCCTGCACACTTGTCCATCCCCAGTTCGCTCCACGGGAGGGAAGGGGAAAGTGGCTCAGAGCCCCAAGTGGGCATAGGCAGGGAATGCAGTGGCCTCTACGTCAGCAGGATGGCTGGTGAAGATGGCCAAGTGCCTGCTCAGCTTCCCCTCCCTTGAAGGACTTGGGAGCACAGCTTTCTCCCCAAGGTTTTATTGAATACACAGTCATCACTGGGCTCACAAATTCTACCCAGTGAATGGATAGACTGAGTGAATGTGTGTGCACCGCCCCAGTGGACCATAGGTGTTGGCTGATTCCCCAGGCTGTTCGGGTACACTGGGGTGGGCACTTCTGGAATTTGTTTGGATGGAAAAAGTGGAACTGAGACCTGTACAGGGACATGCATGCCAGGAGGGTCCCCATGACCCAGGAGAAACACAGCTCCCCATCAGCTGAGGACAGAGCCTTGGGGAGGGGTGTGCATCTCAGGCCTAGGCCTCAGGGACCAATGTGCAGCCTCTCACACTTAGAGTTCCCTAGAACAATAAGGACCTCCAAGGACTGACCCCACCCCCTTGTTCCGTCAGAAAACCTGGGGTAGAAATAAGGTCAAATATGCACAATTTCCTGCATGTCTCTGATGGATGTTTTCTTAAATGGTTAGGCTGTGTTACACCTTGGTTTATTGAAAGAATCAATTTTTAAGATTCATCAAATCAATAAGGTAAGAAGGAAAAGCAAGATCAAAGAAATAACAACAAAACATTTCATTATAACTTTGGTGACTTTGCCTCAGGAATTTCTGTGCTGGCCAGGAACTGGAGATAGCGGGGAGGGCTGGCTTCCAGGTCCCCACTGGCCTCAGGCTTAGTGGCCACATTTATTCACTCCGTGGAGGGTCTGGGGCCTCAGGGCCCCACCTGGTCCTAACCTAGGAGCCCAAACAGTTGTGCCTTCCCCTTTGTCTGTGGCAGGAAGCTTGTCCTTTGAGTTGGAATCTGGGTCACTGTTGCCCAGCTCTGCCAAGATCTGCTCACAAAGCTCCAAGGGGTAGGAGTCTGAACCTGAGCTTTGATTGACATGAGCCCAGAGGTATGAGGGTGGCAGAGAGCTGAAGGCAGTCTCTGGGTTTCTCCTATAAATCAGAGTTGCTGGTGTTCCCAAGCCCTGGAAGGGCTGGCTGGAGCTGGGTTTCGAGCTTGGGTCCCCAGGAACAACTCAGGTTTGGTGGTTAGGAAAGAGTATATTGCTAGAGAGGTTTGGAGATGCCCTCCAAGGAGAAATGCCAGTCCAGGAGTGGCCACTTCAGTCCCCAAATACCTATGTCCCCCAAAGATGCTCACACAGGTGTTACTGATATGTCTGGTGGGGCAGGGCTGGTCAAAGGAGAGAGCTGAGCTTGAGAGAGACCTTGAGCTTCTTGGCCCCTCTTGGGCTACTGGAGGGAAGGTGATAGGGTATGGTTAGCCCAGCTGACCTCTAGTGCAAACCCTACACAGGGTGCCAAAGAGGGTGGCAGGCCGCTCTTCTGGGGTGGTACCATTCTCAGGGCCAAGCCTCAGGGAGATGGGCTATAGAGGAGAGGGGCAGAGAGAGTCCCTTTGCTCCAGTAGAACCTGGTCAGAGACAGGACACAGGGAGGCACTGGACAGTGGCACAGGCCTGCTCACTCAAAGGTTTCCCAATGTCTGCGGAGCTGCTCTACAGAGGTGGATGCGGGGGCTGGGCTGGGGCACACATCTTGCTTGGTTTTTTGTAGCAAATCTTCAAAGGGGTCTCTGGCCTGTGCAGGAGCATAGGGCTGCAGGGCTGCCTCTAGACCCTGGGGAGGTCTGGGAGGCAGCAGTGGGGGTTCACCAGGCCTCAGAGCTAACCCTTGCTTGGCCTCAGCAGCCCTGGCACTTGAACGGGCCAGAGGCAATGTTCGGATCCTGGAAGGGGCAACAGCTGGGGGGTCAAGTGGCTGCGAGGGACTAGTGTGGGCACCCATGGGGGTCTGGCCAAAAAGGTTGGGCATGGAGAGAGCAGACAGGCTGGCCTGAGACCTATGAGGTGCATAGAAGCCAGAACCAGGCAATAGGACACTCGGTGCATATGCTGGCCGCAGGGATGCTGGGGGTGTCCCAAAAGGCCTGGTTGGTATAGAGCCCAGGGAGATGGTGGGTGGTGTTACTGGCATAGAGGAGACAAAGGGATTGAGTGGTGGCTGTGCAAAAGGGGTAGGTGTCACTGTGGTGGGGAAGCTGAGCTGGGGGGTGAATGGGGTAGCCACACTGGGGGTGGAAGGGTGTGGTGGGATGGTGTTACTTGACCAGGCTGTGTTAAGTGGGTCCAGGAGGGCAAGCAGGGAATCACTGCCTGTGCCTGTAGCTCCTGAGGCTGGGCTAAGTGGCTGCAGAAGTTCTGTGGGGCCTTGGGGACCAGGACTGGGGAGCAGTCCTGGCAGTAGGTCTGAACTCAGGGCAGCTTGTCTTTGCCAGTCCATCTGTAGATGCTCTGAAGAGAAGTCACCAAATGGGCCACCTGCAGCCTGGAGCTTGGCTGGGCGGGCAGTAGGTGGTGGAGGCACGATACCCAGCTCAGGGGTCTTTCTGCCTTGTGGACGGGGAATGGTGATGCTGCCTGGAGTTTGGATGGGAGCCTCCTCCTTGATGCTGGGGTTCAGGATGCCATCCTGGTTTTGGGGTCTGTGAGGCAAGGCTGGGGAAGTACCAAACAGAGGTGAGGACTTCTCAGGGGAGGTGGTGGAATGTTTGCTGGGAATGGCCATACTGTCCTGACCCAGACTCCAGAGCTTAGTATATGGATGAGTAAGTTTCAAAGCGGCAGCCACGCTAAGGCCCCTCTCACTTCTGCACAGGTCCAGCCTCTGTGGGGGAAGGAGGGAGTGAGTGATGAGCACTGGCTGACCCAGGCAACAGTACAAAGTACATACCCATATCCAACCCTTCCTGAATGCCAGGCACATGGCTTCTGGGACAGGGAGAAGTTACAGGTACCCAGGGCACCTACAGAGACCTAGGCTTGTCCCACAAAGGGAATCAAAGGAATCTCTTGTCTTTATAAAAGCCTATGCTTGCCAAGTAGTTTCAGGACAATGTCTCCCTCTGTGACCACCTAAAAATGACTTTTTGCTGTTTGGAGATTGTGGTCTCTTCGATCACTTTCCAAAGGGCAAGTGTGGCTCCAGACCTGGGTGAAGGCACACAGACCAAAGGAAAGGAGCTGGGTTCGAGAGTCCTGACTAAACCTGCCACTCTTAGGCCATTTGACCTGGGCAAGTCACTTCTCTAGACCTGAACTACTTCATTCCCAACAGGTGGGATACTCTGTGAATCCCAGAGAGGGGAGGTGACTGATAGTTACACTGGGAGAAACAATTCAGAGCCCAGTTTGATTCAAGGAGCTGCAGCAGCAGCCCATATGAGATGAGAACAGAGATAGGCAGACACCTTGCTGTGCTAGCATCATGATAGCTGGTAGTGTAATGTGCTGCTTGCAATGGGT